TGGTTTTTGTGTGATACCTGGCCATCATTTGGGACTGAACCAACTGATATTAACTTGCACTGACAAGGGCTGATTACTGAAAGAGTTCAGCTGGTGTCTTGGCTTTCCATGCCTTTTTACATCTCCCTTTCTTCATGTGTTCAATACTTTTTCCCTGTGCCATTCCACATTATTACAAATAACTTCATTTCTGGACATTTATGGTTTGATTTCTTTGTATGTATGGATCACTTGGGTTGTTAGCGACATCTGGTGAAAATTTCATGTCATTAGCACCTCTAGTAATATATTTACTGAGAAAAATGGTGACATGTTCAATACTTTTTTTACCCACTGTATGAATATCAGTAAAAAAGATAGATGTTTCGCTTATCGACATGCTTAGAGAGCAACAAGAAGAAAAAAAAAGACTCGCCTTGAGCAACTGCACCTCCAGAACAGATGGGAGCAACACTCCAAAGAGTCTGCTGGAAGGCGGCACTGACAATCAGACTGTCGCTCAAGCTTTTGTTGTCAGATATAGTGCCAAAGGACAGATGCTGGGAAAAAGGAAATGAAAGTAAGAAAAATGGGCTCATCAAGAGTGAAAACAGCTTCTGATTTTTTTTTAACCACCACAATAGCTGTTATCATACACAATTATGCAAAACAATTCATCAGTGGGAGAGAGCATTTAGGCCGCCAACTTCTGCATGAAATCATACGAAATCAAACCAGCAGTTTATGATGGAGAAAAAGTGTAGAGTAGATAAAGAAAATGAAACTACAAAGTTAAACGGTAAATTTTAACATATTCTTTGACAAGTTGTATTGTTAGATGTCTGGCATAATGTAAAAAAACAAGAATTTATTAACAATAACAATGTGATTCAGCATGTACACTTATTTTTTAATCCAATTTTATCCAGTGTTTTGCTACTTTAAGCTTTTAATTAGCTACTTGCTAATTTTGGCTTTTAGCTGACATTTTGCTACAGTTAGCCTTTAGGTTTAGCTACTTTTAGCAAGCTAACATTCTGCTACTTCTAACTTTTGCTAGCCTTCTCTTAGCCAATGTTTTTTTTTTACTTCTTTTAACTTTCAAAAAGCTTTACAATATTTTTTCTCCTTTTAGCTAAACATTAGCTTTTATTATTTCACTTCACTCAGCATTTCCTCTGTAATGTTATACATAATGTAGTTTATTTCTCCTTTTATTGATATGGCTTTATTTTAGCCAGAAAAAGAAACAGCTTTTCCACTGACTCACCAGATATCTCTCAGATGACACACTGACCAGTATGAGGTCATCTCCAACACGCACCTTCTCACCGTCTGACCTCTGCCTGGAGGCCGGATGGACCGTCCACCAACACGTTTCTCCTGAGTCGCAAGCAGAATTTACATGAGAGGAAACTTTAAAGCTGTTCACTCATGGCGAGGACCATTTTATCTATATCACAACATAAAAATAAGAAAAGCAAATCTCAAGAAAAAAAAGAGAAATACCTGCTTCATCCTCTCTCAGACCAACGTCAAACGCTAGTTTGTCAGGCGAAGACTGAGACGAAGGCAAGCAGCTGAGATACTGAAAGGGAAATGAAAGTGTACAAACTATATATTTTAGCAAAAAAACTGTAAAAAATGCTTTAACAGAAAGTTATTGGCAGTAATAAAAAGAACTTACCATGCTGCTGTACGAGTGCCGAAACAACACTGCCTGGCCATATAGGAGAGTGCGATGGCTAACTCCTGCTCCCACCTGCAAATAACAAAGTAAGCTTATTCATTCATTCATTCATTCATTCATTCATTCATTCATTCATTCATTCATTCATTCATTCAAAATATCAGTTTATTCCAGTCCTGGGAACAAACTGTCCTACATGTTTTTGATTTTTCTCTACTTGGACACACCTGATTTCAATCAATGGATGATTAAAAGTCTTGTGCTTAACGTTATAACTTGCTGAATGATTCTAAACATGTAAATCTSATGCAATGATGCTGGGAAACATCTAAAACATGTAGTAAAGGTGGGTTCCAAGAACCGGATCRGGAAAAAAACAAAATTTCTTTCAACAACAATTATTTTTTAGTAATTTTCCAGGTTTGCTCATCTTATGACTTTATCACATTAAATAAATTAAGGTCAGATTCCTTTTATGAATGCATACTTCACACCRCCTTGCATACCAAATATTTGAACAAACCTTGTGTGATCTTTTAGTGCTCAAAGTATGTGATGAGAAAGATGTTCAGCTATACCAAAATTTGGCCAAGAATTCACTGACGTTTAGTCGCTTTCTGTTGACCAAGTTTAATGAGTTGCAACTGCAGTTTTGATTCAGGTTGACTCCAAAGGTTAATCGGTTGTAAATGTGCGTCCAATGATTACTTTTGAGGAGTTTTAATAAAATCCGTTTTCTGATTCATTACATACAGCGGGTAAAATAAGTATTGAACACGTCACCATTTTTCTCAGTAAATATATTACTAGAGGAGCTAATGACATGAAATTTTCACCAGATGTTGGTAACAACCCAAGTGATCCATACATACAAAGAAATCAAACCATAAATGTCCAGAAATGAAGTTATTTGTAATAATGTGGAATGGCACAGGGAAAAAGTATTGAACACACTTACTGAAATTTATCTAATACTTTGTACAAAAGCCTTTGTTGTCAATGACAGCTTCAAGACGCCTCCTGTATGGAGAAACTAGTCATAGCTCAGGTGTGATTTTGGCCCATTCTTCCACACAAACAGTCTTCAAATCTTGAAGTTTTCGTGGACCTCTTCTATGAACTCTGATCTTTAGTTCTTTCCATAGATTTTCTGTTGGATTCAGGTCAGGTGATTGGCTGGGCCATTCCAGCAGCTTTAGTTTCTTTCTCTGAAACCAACTGAGAGTTTCCTTGACTTTGCGTTTGGGGTCATTGTCTTGCTGAAATGTCCAGCCACATTTCATCTTCATCATCCTGGTAGATGGAAGCAGTTTTTTATCAAGAATGTCTCTGTACATTTTTCCATTCATCCTTCCTTCAATTATTTGAAGTTTGCCAGTACCATATGCTGAAAAACAGCCCCACACCATGATGTTCCCACCTCCAAACTTCACTGTTGGTATGGTGTGTTTGGGCTGATGTGCAGTGCCATTTGWCCTCCAAACATGATGTGTATTCTGGCATCCAAACAGTTCAAWGTTGGTCTCATCTGACCAGACTATATTCTCCCAGTATTACACAGGCTTGTYTAAATGTTGTGCAGCAAACTTTAAAGGAGCTTCAACATGCTGTTTCTTCAGCAGTGGAGTCTTGCGTGGTGAGCGTGCATACAGGCCATGGTGTTTCAGTGCATTACTTATTGTTTTCTTTGAAACAATCGTACCTGCTAATTCCACATTTTTCTGAAGCTCTCCACAAGTSGTCCTTGGCTCTTGGACAACTCTTCTGATAATTCTTTTCACTCCTCTGTCAGAAATCTTGTGAGGAGCACCTGGTCGTGGTCAGTTTATGGTGAAATAATGTCCTTTCCACTTCTGTATTATGGCCCCAACAGTGCTCACTGGAACCTTCAGAAGTTTAGACATTCTTCTGTAACCGATGCCATCATTATGCTTTGCAACAATAAGGTTGTGAAGGTCTTGAGAGAGCTCTTTACTTTTACCCATCATCAGATGGTTCTTGTGTGATACCTGGCCATCATTTGGGACTGAACCAGCTGATATTAATTTGCACTGACAAGGGGCAGACTTGCTTTCTAATTACTGAGAGAGTTCAGCTGGTGTCTTGGCTTTCCATGCCTTTTTACACCTCCCTTTCTTCATGTGTTCAATACTTTTTYCCTGTGCCATTCCACATTATTACAAATAACTTCATTTCTGGACATTTATGGTTTGATTTCTTTGTATGTATGGATCACTTGGGTTGTTACCGACATCTGGTGAAAATTTCATGTCATTAGCACCTCTAGTAATATATTTACTGAGATAAATGTTGACGTGTTCAATACTTATTTTACCTGCTGCATTTTGCTAACAGACAAACTCATTGGATTAAACATTGCTTTTGTTTGTTTTTATTCTGTCTTTATTGCTTTATAAATTCATAAYAGAGTCTGCCACAAAAGTGACAAAGACATCCCAGACCAGCAAACATGTTCATTAAGGTGCAACGGGAGTGAAAAGAAGCGAACAGACTCTCACCTCTGCTGCCAGTCGCTCGCTGTGGGCCAGCATCTCCTGCAGGGCTCGAACTGAGAGGCACTGGGCCAGGACGAAGCCACACACAGACAAGTCTGGTGGAACATTCTGGCATGAAATAAAGAGGACGGCACTTTGCATCAGTTTCATGTATGTCAATGGGCTTTCAAAAAGTGACACGAGCAGGTAAATACGCAAAAATAGGAAAAAGGTTTTTCCCCTTTAATCCTAAAAGAGAAGGCAAACAGACTGAGCTTAAAAACTAAGTTGCTGCTCCCAAATTTTTAGCAAACTTGAAATGTTATTGCAGATATGTTGCAAGACTGAACACGTCTGTATTACAATATTGTGCTGAATACACTGAACTGCAAAATGTTTCAACAAKTGTCACAATCTCTATGTCACAAAATCTGACAAACAAAGCCCTCTGGCAGCGGYGAGCAGCAGCCTCTGAGGTGGAGCTCTTTACCTTGCAGTTTGAAGTGGGTTCAAGCCTGCAAAGCCTGCTGCCAAATCCTTCGGCKGCAAGACACAGCTTCAAATGCTCCTCTTGGGAGGTGAAGGTGCTCTGCAAAACCACCTCATCTCCCTGAGAAAAACACATACAAAAATGACAACAGAAGCTAGCTAGAGAAATTGCATTTGCGTGTGTATGTGTGCGTGACAGTGCAGTGTGAAGAGAAGAAGCTGACCAGCGTAGCCATTTTGCAGTTTTGGGAAATARTCTTGTCCCATTCACACTGCATACAGTATATTTCTGCCACTTACCGATAATCTTATCTCGGTTTCAGTGCCACAAACAGCACGTCAAACCAATTAGACAACTCTGTCTATTTAAAGAACCACAGAAAACGATAACAGACGAGCAGGAATACCAACACCTCTCCATAGCCACCATTCAAACCTCCATATTGGGAATGCACGGCACTATCTGACCCCTGATTCACCCTTCTCTCCACTCCTCATATCAGCAGGACTCTGCAATCAGTCAAACACACTGTGCTGAGGTAGTGTGGGGCACTCAGATGGCTTAAGGACTGAGCTCCTCTGCTGTACACCTGGCAAGTAAAAAAATTACTATGCCTCAGGATTTAATCTAAATGTGAAAAAAAACATAAAAATTGGACTTTTTGTCACAAAACATTGACACTCCAGTCAATATAATTCAGGGCCCCTTGGTGTTTCTGTATAATTAAAGTTGGCCACCTTGCCTCAAAAATGGACTCACAACACAAGCATTAAATTGAGCGTGTTTCTTCAAACATCTACCAACTAAATAGTTAATAAGTCAGGATTAATCAAAGCCCAGCAGCACACACCTGTGCAATTTTATGTTAAAAAAATCCTATCATGGGTTTATTTCACAAAATGACTATAATCTTTTTAAATCCCTGATTATACGCTTGTATCTCCATGTCTTTATCCAGACATGACCCTGACCAAAGGGCAAAGAGTATGAGCTGCGAGAAGACAACTTTTAACAACGACAGTCTCTTCTCTTGCCATGAAGATGAAGGGGGGAAAGCAGACGTAGTTTTCTCTTTCTTCCTTTTTCCCCCTGCCAGTAAATTGAATAAAGTGATCAAAAAAGCAGGCTGTTGAAAGCTGCAGGGTAAGAATTATTTATTTGACTTTTTTTGTACTTAAGGTTGGTTTAAACATTCTGATGCATTGCATAACAAAAAAGAAAAGCAAAACTTTTAGCTGACAACCTTGGAAAGGAATGAAAAGTTACACCTGAATTTACACTATTTCTGTAAACTCTGTGGTCATCGTGAAAGGATTCTTCATTTAAATACCAAGCCAATATAAAGATAGAAAATTCAGCTAGACAAAGTGAGAAAAAAAATTGATCCAAACTCAGAGAGAAATTACTTATTTTTGATACAACAGAAAAAAAAAACTTCACAAACCAAGGTCTAGAGATCAAACTTGAATATACGTTAGCAATTACATTAAATTTGCAGGATGTTTTACTTACCATTCGTAAAAACTGGCCTTCATCATCATCACCCTCTCCTCCTGTGTCAGTCATTATTTCAAGCTGACAGGACACATTGACAGAGTTCTGTTGTTGACACTGAGGACACCAAAGAGGGTTGGAGAAGGAGAAAGGTAGGTAGGTACAGGACTGATACTTAGAGGGCGGGGTTTGTCCCAATACTCTATTACAATGCTGTTTTACTCTAATAGCATTATTTTATAGCTCCCTGAAAATTATTAGTACTGAATTAAATCATTACTTTAAAAAGTTGTGTCTGTTTTAACACACTGTAAAAAATGAGATGTTGGATTTACTTAACCATGTTATGTTACCTGGTTCCACTTAACTGAGTTGAGTAAATTCAAAGCAATATACCAGTTTTTAGCCAAAGAACATGAGTATGTTGCTTTGAATTTACTCAACTCAGTTAAGTGGAACCAGGTAACATACAGTAACATGATTAAGTAAATCCAACATTTCATTTTTAGAGTGCACGAGGCTCACTGAAATAAGTATATCTTACTACATTAGACAACTTTGTGCAAGATATAAATGTTTTTTATTGTTGCTAACAAGGTTATGCATAAAAACTGTCTAAACAAAGTAAAAAGGAAGTGAAGAATGGCCTTAGTAGGATTAGAAATAACTCATAATATCGCCATCAAACTTTTGGAACTTTGATAATTATGTACCTTTACATTTGTGAGTATGAAAAAAGACTAAGTGCCACGGGTCTCTGTCACCTCTGCTCACTTTATCCTTGCCTCGTACCCACTCTCGTCCACTTGGTACTAACTTAGACCCCGCTTTGTACCCACCTCGGCTGCTGCTCCACCATTGATGACAGAATGCAGAGTCCTATAAATTATGTTTACACAATTCATTGAACATATGTAGGCCTATGTTGTGAAGATGAGCAGATTTAAATAATCCTGTTTAATACATCTGCATTATTGAGAATCCTGGCCACATGTTTTTTACATTTACACAAAAAAATCAGACTGAGTGCACCAAAATGTGCACAAATCTGGCACAAATTTCACAACACAAACTACAAGAGCTTGGATTGTGAGGCACACAAACAACAATATTGCATTTGCAGATATTAGATATGTCATTACGACCACTAGCAACTAACTTTATCTTTAGAAAACTTCTACAAGGAAATCCTACATCCTTGCATTTGCAGAGGTATTACTGGGCCACTTGCTCCCACTGCAGAGCATTTTTCCAAACCCAGTTTTTCCACTCTAATAAGAACAGCACGCTCACATCGGGATATCAAAGGAACATGCAAAAACKGCTTAGAAATGACTCAAAGAACACCATAAATGAGTCTAAGTGGTTCACCTTGTCCCAGACATACTCAGGGGAAAAAATAAATAAAAAAATTGATGAGGTCTGAAGGCATCTGAAGAAAACAATACACAGGAAGAGCACCCACAAACAACAGGACATGCYTGTGTCCCTTTCCCTCTCCTCTTACCCTTCAGGCGGTCACGGCACACGGCCAAATCTAATTCAAAACGTTCTCCTCTTCAGAATCAGAATCACCTGATGTGCCTCCTGCATTTCTCAGGCTGAGGAGCTGAATGGAAATTCAATCTGGCCCTTTCTTCGTTCCATTACCTACACAATCATTTTTTCCTCCTATTCTGGATTGTTCTGGATTAAATTAGATTATAATGGGTTTTGATTTTTTTTCTCTCTATGTAGATCTGGTTAAATTTTGGAGTCATTCTCACACACAAAAAAAATGTCCAGCACACAGATATTTGTTTTGGATGAAAATTACAGTTATGAAGTTTTCATATTGCCAGAATAAGGGTTTCATTTTGGACACAAGCAGAAAAAATAAAAATCTGCTCATTTTTTCCAGATGATTCACATTCATTTGTGGTTATATGACCTTTCCTGTCATTCCATTGCACCAAAGTTTAACTTCCACAGACAAAACAAAGAACTGACATTTCAAACCTCATCCCTGCCCCTTAGAGACATCATCAGTAAGGAATTCTTAAAATATTGCAATATTTGTATTACCTTTAAAATGCAGGAATGATTAAGAAAAATACAAATTTAATCTTTTTTTGCTCATCGAATACCTTTTTGTCAACTTGAGTGTATTGTTTTTCACTTTTAAGTGGAACTACTTTTGTTTGGCATTCTGAGCAAGTAAGCTGTCAAATCTCATCTGAATTTGCAGTCTTTCCAGCTCCAATGAAATTTGACACAAATACTGTCATTTTACACAGATTTTAGGCTAAACAAATGACAGTCTCCCCATTCAAAAAAGCTGCACTGACCTAAATTTGCATCTCGACTGACACAAGTCATCTTCATGTTGATCCTTGCAGTAAAAGAACAAATTAACCAAAATGTAACAGATTTCAAGCTCGATATCCATCACAGAATTTTATTTATGGTTTAGCAGAATTTTAAACACTGATAAACTGCAAAAAAAGACAAACATAATTCAATACAGGGCTGAAAAAATACTTTATTAGACACAGATGCTTTCGTGAATCAGTGTTTGTTAACAGAGCCAAATAACAGAAGGCATTAACGGCACCTGAGATTCTGTTTTCCTACCAAAAATTAACTAATCAAAATTGAATGAAAGGTGAGAACATCTCTTCTGGAGATTAGTCATGKTTGAGTTTCTTATCTTAGCCACGGTAAATTAAAGTTTATTTTAAAGTGGATTGCTTACATTTGACATAAAATATTGCCAGTGAGATCCATTGAGCTCAGTCTTTGTGAAAAATTATCTTCACAAAAAAAATAAATAAAAACCTTTCCTGTAGCTCATTTGGATTATTCACTATCAAAAGAACACAAAGTATTTGATTTTGCTTTGGCTTATAGTCTCAAAGTTTTAGCTCAACAAATCTTTGCTCACATGGTTCATGGGACCACTTAATGAGGTTTTTTTTAGTTTTTAGAACATGAATTAACTGATTGGAAACATCTCACCAGAGGTATRATTCTGTATATTTCAGAATGAAATCACTTTATAATTAACCAGTTAACCTMAAGACTTGAAATGTTCCAAAGAAACTGGGAAACAAAAAGAACTCTCAAAGGCTTCATCACAGAATTTTGGTACTGATGTTTATATGCTTCTTTTATTTCCCTTCAATCTTGTAAATAAAGTACATAAAACTGCATCATTTAAAAAATAAAAATTATCTTGTGTATTAAATTATTACAAATTTGAAATATTAGATATTAAAATTGGTTCCGCATTGTGCAAGAATTTAAAATCAGAAATAACAGAGCCTAAATACAAAAGCAAAGTCTCTTTTGAAGCCAAACTTAGAGAAAATGATGTTTTAAGATTAGCTTTTTTTTTTTTGGCAATTTTATATTTCTGAGCACGCACAAGCATCAGTGTACTTGCTGCTGCCAGAGAATGTTTCAGTTTGTTTTAGTCCAAATTAAAATTCTGCAAACAAACCATTTTGCATCTTTCATCCGTGTTTTCTACCTTTTATGTAATGAGCCATTGTAAACATTTCCTTTAGTGCTTCTGTGGTTTCCCAGTTTCCCTTTGCTGATTAACGCATTCTTCTGGCCTTTTGGGAACCAGCTGTTTATTGACGAATGGCAGTCGCCCTGAAACTGTTTTTGCAAACCGTAATCCAATTTAAGCAACTTAGCAGAAAATTTTATTCCCAAAACAAAGGGGCTGCGACAAAACATGAAACTGATACACAATATTGCAAAGAAAGCTGGGACTACTGTTTGTAATTGGGGGAAAACCTCCACAAATAAAAATTTGAACTCACTTTTATATTTCTTTATAGAATTTTTTTTCCTCTCAAAACATTTGAAATCGTTTTTTTTCCAAATATTTTATTTAATTAGGACACCTCACTTTGTTTAACATGGGGAAAATAAACCTGGAAAACGATATAGGACATTGTTTACAGTGATTGCTTGACTTTTAAAGCTTGCTTTTCATTCAACATATCTGACCTAAAATTAAAGATTAATTTTATTAATAGGTGCATGGAAAGAGTGGGTAAAAAATGGCCAGATGTTGAGGGGGATTTCTTTTCAAGTTAAAGGTCACTCTCTCCATAGAGGGCAGTGGAGAAGGCGGTGTAGTCCAGGGCTCCTGGTGGTGCTCCGGGRCCTTTGTAAGGAGGCATCCTCATGATGCAATACTCCGCTTGTTCAGGAGGAAGTTCTCTCCTAAGCTCATCCACAAGTATGTAGGGCTGTGGTAACAAAAAATAAACAAACCGGTTAAGAATGATAATACCCAGATTTATGAACAAATGGAAAAAAAAGAGACTTAACATTGTGTAGGAAGGAGGGGATGGCGTTGGCCTCAAAATACCAGCTCATGTGCCAGCAAACCACAGCAGCTCAAACAGATTTACCTTATCAGCTGCCAAGATCCGGAAGGATGCCACAACCTGTTCAGCGGTGTCCGTATCAGCGGTCTCTCTCGTCATAAAGTCAATAAAAGACTGGAAGGAAACGATTCCAGTCGCGTTCGGGTCCACCAGCATCATTATACGGGCAAATTCCACTTCTCCCTAAGACGAGCGTGAGCAGAGAGTTAGAACAGACCCAAAAATAAACTTGGTCGTTCAAATCTGAAATATTGTACCAAGTCGTAACCCATGGAGATGAGGCAAGCTCTGAAGTCGTCGGTCTCCATTGCTCCGTTTTTCTTCTGCARCCAGAACATTTTAGATTAACAGGAAGAAATGGGTCCAAACTCATTTTCCCTTAGCACAGGGGTCTGCAACCTTTATGATCAAAAGAGCCATTTGTGCTCCTTGTCTCACTAATAAAATGTGTTCGGAGCCACAAAACAAGCTATAACTGTGATCATCAACTGGTGGTCCGTGGGCCTTTTCAAGGCCTTTTATAGGTATTTCTGGGAATCTTTACGGTCAGTGGAGGTGACATTATAAAATTTAAAAAATATATTGTTATTATTGTTAGATTATTTATTATTATATACATCAGGACAAATAAAAGACCATATTCATGAAAAAAGAAAAATACTGTATAATGTTTATACAAAATTTCCTAAAAACTAGTACAACTGAATTATTCAAGCATATTTGTTTTCTAATTCTTATTATTACATACTCTTCAAATTATTTGAAGGTAATTCTGATGGATTTGAGAGAAAGATCATAAAAAGAAATTGGAATATTAAAGTAAACAACAAGTTAACATGAGCTAACATGTTTTACTTTTTATATTAGTAGTATTGATTACATGTTTGCATACAAACTGATTTCTGTTGTGGGCACAACACCCCACCAAAAAAATTGTAATAACAATTCTGTTATGTTTGGTCACAAAAAAAAAATGTAATAATAATTCTGTTATGTTTGGTCACATTTTCAAAGAGCCACTGCAGAGGGACCAAAGGRCCACATATGGCCCCAGAGCCGCAGGTTGCAGACCCCTGGCTTAGCTACAAACTAAACTGTTTGAGCTTAGAATCTACAGACATTTTCATATGTAGCTTTTTGTTTTGTTTATCAAATTCAACATTAACTGTAAATGTGTTTAATAAGATAAAGAGGTATTATTTCTACTGCAGGCACTCGATCTGCTTTGCTTAAGATAACGGTGTAAATATTCATGTCGAATCATCTGCAAAACAAAACAAAGGTTTTGCAGTTTCGTACTTGCACACAGATGAAATCTGTAACATTATGCTTGATTTTGGATGAGCTTTAAAATTTATCCGATGCATTATCCAGTCTGTTACATCTGCACAGTGAGGCAGAGGCACTCTGACAAATGTAGCTTGAATAATAACAGCATTCACTGTTGCAGTGTCTGTGAAATGCACACTAAATATGCAGAAAATCTTTACCTGCCTGAGTGCTCTAAGGCACAATATCAGCCAGTGTTTAAAATCAATCGCTTGCAATGATTTGTGATGTTTATGTGCAAAGTGTGGACTCTTTATCCCCTCATCAGAAYTGCTCTTGGAGCTGGGTGAGATTTAGAACACACAGAAATAACCCTGGAGAAAACTCCTGGGTGGTGCTACAGGAATATCTCCTAATTAACACTGGAGTAACCCATTTCCTGCTGCTGAACTGTTAACACTGCTTCCGATCAGCTTATCAGAACAAAAAAATAAATTAAAAAAAAACAAGAGAGACCCCTGGAGTGTGAACGTGTGTATTAGGCTGTACCCTGTCAAAGTGATTGAAAGAAGATCTGAACTCATTCATCTGTTGTTGGCTGATGCCCTTGGCATCCCGAGTCAGGATCTGGGTCTCRATCTCATTAATGGTTCGGGCGATGGTTGTGAGGAGCAGCTCCCATCCGACACGAATGTGCTGTTGGTGTGGTGCAAGATCATACATATGAACACACAAACACAAATCTGAACATCCAAAAAAACAAATAAATGTTTGTTCACATATAAAAATTCAATATGCCCTGAAAAAGACATGTTGCATAAAGCCMCCTGTCAACTCTGTGCACACACGTAATCAATTCACTGTCTTGTACCTCCATAGTGTAATTGGTGTGTTTGTTGTCGAAAACAAGCGATTCCTGGATTAGCTGGTGGTCTCCCTCCAACTTGTCTATGTTGGGCTTGTAAGCAACAATGACATGCTCAATTTGTTTCAGCTGGGTCATCTGGTCTTCCAGTGYGCCTCCAATCTCCAGGGAGCAGCGCCCAATTTCCTGTCAAGATAATGCCGGCAACAGGGTCAACTTCRTTTTAGGACCAATTTCCATCTTGGCATGCCAGTTTGGAGGACTCTCATGCTTATATGTGAGGAGCAATATTCTTGCACGCAACAGAAAATTTTGAATTAAAAGAGAACTTGTAGGTGTATATATTTCTTAGTCGATTTTTTTGGCATTTATTTCCTCTCTTATCCAAAATGCAGTTGAAAATAATTCTCTTTTTTTTCAGTGATTAAATGTTAAAACTTGGTTTTAAAATCTCTGCAAATCAAACCTCCATCCTGGCCTGAATCCAGGGTCCAATGAGATTAGCCTGGGCAGCAAACTGTCGTCTCAACCTTTCATGGGCATGTTGGCGTGCCATCTCCTCCTGGAGGGCACCATCTCTTTGAGGAACCAGCTTCTTCACCTATGAAACACAGAAGAAAATAGCCATCATCAGAGACTCAGACAATGTGAACAAGACCTCAAGATGGCTGTGGATTGTGATAGACAGGCAGTAAGTTAATTCTTTTTTGGACACAAGTTGGGAAATGATCACTTGGGTGGGGGTCTAACGTTAAAAGACCTGAAACCACCTAAACAGTACCTGGCATCATAGGGGGTTTCAGGTCTAACGTTAAAAGACCTGAAACCCCCTATGATGCCAGGTACTGTTTCTAACAGAGGTCTATAAAGTACTTGAAAAAAAATAACTGTGTGAAAATAAAAAAAAATACCTTAACAGAAAATGACAAATAAATGTCACTGATGAGAAAACTACTTAAGTCATAAAACTGTTCACAAAAATTGGGAAAGTAGAAGTAAAAGTACTTTTCCACGCTCTCTAACAAATACTGTAACATTTACTGAACCAAACTGGCTCCACAAAACCAAGTTGATTAAATTGGTCAAYTTCTTTAAAATAAAATATGTATATCATCTCAAATTCACTCTTACTATGTTTAGTGGAAATAGTTGATATAATTTAGTTGAGTAAATTCAACACTTAATTACTTTAGAGCACATAAACATCTCCTTTCATGATGAGTTTGAACATATTTAATTTTGTAACAAGTAACTAGGTGTCAAATTTTAAGAAGCAAAAATATAAATTTTAGGTTTTAAATGTAACGAAATAAAAGTAACAATATGAATACTTGGTAAAATTACAAATCCTCAAAAAGTTACTTAAGTACTGTAACAAAGTAAATGTACTTAGTTACTATAAACCTCTGGTTTCTAATATGTTCAAGTGCATCAATAGATGTGTGCAACAACAAAGAATGGTTACAAGGTATCGCTAAACACTGATTTTAAATCGGAAACATGGCGCTGGTGTCCATTCACTGGCTCACTGTTTGTTTTAGAATTGGTTTTAATGTTTTATTGATTACCTGTAAGGCCCTGAATAGACAATCTCCTGTAGATCTGTCTGACCTCCTGCAGCTGTGCCCTTCAGAATCTTTAGACCTAATAATCATTTGCTTTTAGTTGTCCTGAGGTCCAAGCTGGTCCACAAAGATAATTGGGCCTTTTCAGTTATAGTTCTTAAATTGTGAAGCCAGATTTTTATATTTAACAGGGATCAATTCTGGGAGCTTTTAAGTCACATCATAAAACACATCTGTACTCACTGGCTTTCAAGGCTGCATAACAATTGACCTTTGAGTTCCATTTAATGGTTTTATATTGTGTTGCCATGTTTTGGTTTTTGTCTTTTGAATTTTTGCAGTTTGTTGCTTTTATGTGCAGCACAGTTGCTCTAGTGATTTATATGGACTTGACATAATATTTAAAATAATTAAAAAGATTTACATATGATTTTAGTGGGTGTCAAAAGCTTTAGTTGTGAAACAAACAGTCAAAATAAACTTATAAAAGGGAGTTCATCACTAAAATACAAACAGCTTCCTGTGATTGTCCCTTCATAATTAGCACTTTTGAGCCAGGGTTACTAAAACTAATTATCTAATCGAGATGCAAAAGTATGTTTATGTGGGTGGTTAATGCTAAAATAAAATCCAACTGAAACAATAAACACAGTGAATAGATAGTACACATAATGACTTTAATGCAATAACTTTATGTCTTATTTAAGAGCAAAATTCACAAGTACCAGGATAACTCTGACTGAACAGATGTTCTGTTCTAATCCAAAGTACATTTCTGTCTATTATGCAAAAAATAATAGTTTAGTATGCTGAAAAGTGGTAAAACCCATTCACATTTATTGCCTGTAACCTTATTATGTGTCCGCTATGTTATTGTGCAGAAAGCTGCATAACTGAAGTTGTGAATTCTGTAAATTTTTCTCAATGGGTGTAGTTAGTTAGAAAATATGGTGATGAGTTAACCTTGTGTTTGACCCACATGTGAAAAACCTTAGTCTCTATAATGAGGCTCACCTGCTTTTTCACAGCTGCTGGACACGAGTCAAAATGTCTGTACTGCCATGTTAAATTTTAAAAGACATTGAGTCAAAATGTGGGACATTACTTCATCCTGTGAGCCAGGAGATAAAACACCGTGCAGGCTTATTTACAGTAGGAAGGCACCTGTTTGCTGTATTTTGAATAGGAAACACGTATCAACYGATTGCTTCTATGTAAAGACAAAGTGTGCCTGTGAGAGTTTAAAAAAAGATACCTTCTCCCACTTGTTGAGAAGCCCCTCTGTTGTTATGGTGCTGTAGGGATTGATCATGTTGGGCTTAATCCCATAGCTCTGGGAGATTTTCTGCACCTCATTGTGGATTCCCAAAATGGCCTGCCTCTCTGCATCTGCCTCGGGCAGAGTGGCTTTAAACTGCTCATGAGCAGCAATTAGACTCTGAAAAAGGAAGTACTGTAGTTAGTCTCGCTTRGATTTTATCAATAGTAATGCTAAGAAATCTTCTCAGTTTTCAGAGAGTACTTTAAGGTTACCTGGACCTCCTCGATGGTATGAACGATAAACATGTCCTGCAGGTCCTCCATGGCTCCTTCCATCCAGTTGTTGAAAGGAGCCGATCGTTTGGCAAACTCCAGAAACAACTGATCAAYAGTCTCCAGCAATTTTTCTGTACGCTACAAAAATGATATATTTAACAAAGAATTAGACACATTATATAGCTTAATTATCTCTAAGACATGTAAACATATACATTCCTTGACCTGTTCTGCTGGATAACAAGGGGACATACTGTCTTTGCCATATTATTCCCCCACCCTCTAAATGCTGGCTTGGTTATTGACAAAATCCTTCCTCACAGGGATAAAAGGGATGTGAAGCAGGGTTTGGGCAGAAAAACTGACAAGTCATTCAGACTTAGCCCATGGCACTTTTCCCAGGTCTTCACACATTTGCAGATTTGGAATGACCGGCACGGTTTAGAGGAAGTGACTAGTGGGCTTCGGGCCAGTCACTCCTTGAACTGAAACATTACATCCCTCCACACATCTACTTAACTCTGAGCAGGATTTGTCAGAAGAACCTGTTCTCTTCATTCTTTGGGTCATTCACATCTAAAATATGCTTACAATTAAAGCTTGAGATGCAATTTGTTTCCTGAAACATTAGCACCCTCTTGTGACTTGAAGGTGTCGGGAATGAAAGGCTTGAGGAAAAAAAAAAATATTCCACCTGCTTGTCACATTGAGATATGAAATGTCCTTATGATAAGTGCATCTCACCTCTAGTGACTCTCTTCTCTTTTGAGTTAGAGTTCCCAGCTTGTCCCACAAGTCACAGATGCTTTGGCAGCGCTGGTTCACTAAAGCAACATCATGGTAATCCAGCTCACTAAAAAAAATAAATTCTCTTGAATCAGATTTTATAATCTTCAAACCAAGTATAAAACAGCAAGCTGTTAAAAATTTTCTACTGAACACACAATACCTTGACTTACAGGAGATTTAAGTTTATTTCTTTAGATCAGAAATGTACATTACAGTTTCATAGAAAAGTACACCATTCCAATAAAATACAGACTTCACATAAAATTGGCATTCGAGTCTTTATTAATTGGCAATTTTAAAGCCAGTGAGTAAACTGCAAAAGCTGCCTTTACTCTCAGTTGCTTCATATCTGAAAAAAAAAAAAAAATCCATGTAAAACATTGAGCTTCTAGAGCCAAATGGAAACTTGAATTTGAGGGGGGCTATTAGCATTGGTAATACTATAGTGATCGTAACCAAAATCAGTTGTATGGTCCCCACCGACCTCGTATTCTGTCTGGGTATGGGACAGTGTACCAAGAGGAAGCTGTCCAGTTAAAAAGTAGTAGAAAAGGTTTGGGTAAGCTGGCCTCATGTACGCTGACTGTGGCCTCATGCCACCCATTGATAGGAAAGGAAGGAAAGGATGGTTCAGCTCAGCAGCATAATAAGGGTACATTGAAATAAAATCATCTTCAGTTTCCCTTTCCAAATTCCCCTGCTCATACAGAGATGCATCGTTGTGCAGATGGCCACCTTGAAACCTTGGATCTGGGTACATGARGGGTGGCAAGCCACTAATCTCAGTTTCATCAAGTTCCTCCACCTGATCAAKTGGAAACTGAAAGCTGGGAAACAAACCAGCTGCAGGTTCATTACTCAACTCATCAGGACCCGACTGGACTTCCAGATTGTATGGGCTGCCCAAAGACACTGCAGGGCCTTGTGAATTGAGGTGAGAGGAAATATCTTTAAGTGGAAAGCCRAGCCACAACCTAGAAGCTTCTTGGGTGGAGGGAGGAACAAGAAGCGTTTCAAGAGGAGCAGCCAACGACACGAGAGCAGGCCCTTCTGGAGAGGAAGGAGGAGAAATCCTTTTTGGTGGATAGCCAAGCCATGAAACAGGAGCTTCTTGGGTGGATGGAGGAACAAGAAGTGTTTCAAGAGGAGCAGCCAACGACACGAGAGCAGGCCCTTCTGGAGAGGAAGGAGGAGAAATTCTTTTTGGTGGATAGCCAARCCATGAAACAGGAGCTTCTTGGGTGGATGGAGGAACAGGAAGAGAATCCTCTGGTTTGGGAGGAGAAGCGGTCACCGTTTTGGGTGATTCAGTAAACCAAGGGATCACAACCTTCTGTGCTTCAGAAGGGCTAGACTTTCTGGAAGGATAAAAGTTTTTGGAAGGGAGAGTCATCCAGGAGACAGGAGGCAACTGCTGATCAATAAGGGGAGACTCAACTTTTGAGACAGCAGGACCTTCTGGATTGGAAGGGGGAGGAGGTGGTGTTGGAGGAGGAGGTGTTGTAGGCAGCTTCGTTGCAGGCAGCTTTGTTGCAGGCAATTCAGCAGGGCTTTGTGAATTGGCAGGTTGCACAGTGAAGAGTTTTGGTTTGGGTCTAGTAGTCACCCATGATGGTCTAGGAGGAACGCCTCGAAATTTAGCTCGTTCCAGACTAGGTTTTACTTCCACATCACTGCTACCAGGATTATGCTGGTTCCAACCTATTTAAAAAGAAAAGTGTGACAGAGTTTAGACAAATAAAACCACACAGATACACATTTGCATTTTCAGAAAAGCTGTAGTTTTACCTCTTTCAGAAGGAAATGAGTAGACGTTCAAGCATGACATAGCAATCAGGAAAAACTGGCTACAAGAGTAAAAGAAGTGTCACAATCTTGACACAATTCATAATGKGGAAACAACAATGGATGTGAGGAGTACTTTAAACATACCTTACAAGAATCCAAGAAGCCATTTTTCTTGTCAGCTGAACCATGCTCTTTTCTTTTTCAAAGGATAATTATATATGAAACAGGAACTACTTAATGGCCAACCCCAGACTGAGACATTAACAACACACAGGTGTCTGTCACTGATTGCTGATTGAAAATTTGAGCATGATGGGAAACCAACCTGCTCAGATTAGTAGTTTTTTTGTATTATTTGTTTTTTCTCTTTCTTTTTATTCATGTATTTATTTATTTGTTTATTTTTCTTTTCTTTGAATAGATAGCTTTGAAAGTTTAAAAAGAAATACAATAATAGTAGTAGTATATAAATATAAGTGAAATCATCTTGAACCACTCCATACCAGTAGGTGGCGGTAATGCACACCTTCCGTTGTTTGCCAAACGCCATTAAACACCACAAGAAGAAGAAGAAGAACCTACTTAGCTTTCTGCTTTAAATACCTTGACAAAACTCAATGAAAGAATGTGATCTAAGAATATGCTTAAAAAATATATTTCAGAAACAAGCTAACAATATTTAGATGACTAAATCAGAATAAAATTTAAGTTTAAACTGTTTAAACTATGCTAGTTTTATTTTAAATATTTTCTCATCTGCAAGCCTCCACTCCTGCACATTTCTTGATTTTTTAAACACATAATTTATTAAGTTATACAGAGCCTATGGCCACAACACAGTTGAAATGATTTTTAGAGGACAGAAACAGAAAACAAGACTGCGTTGTTTGATTTTGCCATTATCTTTCCCCTTTTGAGTCTTTATGACAAAWGATTGCATCTGCTGCAGAGTACGTACTTTAGCTCCTGAGCAATAGCAGCAATCTGCTCCACTCTGTCCTGGTGGGCTGCCAAATCACTCTCAAAGGCCTCGTGTTTTCGAAGCAACGCTCTGATTTCTGTCAAGGTGGCTGTTTCATAGTCCTTCTGGGAGAGGATCAGTTCTTTACCTGAAGACCACATAAAAGGCCGGATCAAATTAGTTCAAATAGTTGATAAAACCACTGCCCTTGTTTAGTCATTGCAGATTTAGAGCATGCCCTGTTGCAAACCGTGACCAGCTGATTCTAAYGAGCAGACTTTAAAACCTTTCATTGCATCTCATTAGAACCAAGCTTAAATCAACTCTAAAGAAAAACACTGAGCTACAGGCGGAGAGGAAGATGAACGAAAGATAAGGAAAGACCTCATAAATCAAAACGGACAGATAAACATTCAGATATAGACATAACCGTGGATACGGGGCAGCAAAAATGAATGCGTTTGAAAAAAGTTTAAAGTAAAAGCAGAACTAACCGCTGGCCCAGTTCTCATGGTTGGTGGCTTTCTGGCGGAACTTTTCTGCTAAGTGGTCCAGCCTCTCCAGCCTGCGGATCTCTGTGAGGAGCCACTCCTCGAAGCCTTTTTCTGCCTGGTCCAGACCCTGCCAGGCACTGGCTATGTCCTGGGAACACAATGAAAGTAAAAGTTTGTACTCGGAAAAAAGTTATGGTTTTTACATAAGAAGGACGATCTGTAAATATTTATTATTACACACTGAATGTACAAGATAGTCTGTGTTTATCTGTATTAATCAATTCGTGTGTATATGTGTGTACATGCTTCTGCTACCTGGTGGGGACAATTTTAACATTTTCGCACACAGCCTGGTGAGGACCCACTGTTCTGGTCCACATTGAGAAAAATACTGTTTGTGGGTCTCCTTAGGCCTAACATGTGAATAGAGCTAAGGTTAAGTTTTGGGTTGGGTAATTACCTGTGAGGTTAGGTTTACATTAAGGGGTCAGGGTTAGGCTGTAGAAATGACCAGGAAATGAATGGAAGTCAATGCAAAGTCCCCATGCGGATAGAAGAACAAACGTGTGAGGGTGTGTGTGTGTGTGCTGTGATGGTGGGCACATCTGGTTTTGTTCTCAAAGTGGTTCACATAAAATAAGAGGTTTTTCTTTTTTTTTTACTAATAAATAAATGCAGAAAAAAAAGACTGAGCTCACAGAGACCAACTTTCCCTCGGAGGGCATGAAAGCAGGCCGATTGCTGATGCGCAGCTTGGTCTGCAGGGTGTTGAAGTTAATCTCCAGCTGGCACTTCTCCTGCACTTTAGGGGGTTTGTGCTTCCGTCTGTAGTCTCTGAAGTCCTCCAGCTTCCGCTGCATCTCTGCCATGGTCTTCTCTGGGGTCCGGTTCTCCAGCCAGGGAGTGGTGCGGCGGATCCACTCCAGCAGCTGGAAAAGACAGCAAGAATGTGAGAACAAGTTTAGAGGGAAGAAAACTCCRTGTTTGGACAGAGTGCTATGAATTAATGATGATTCACAGCTCATGTCAGTGATGAGATACACTTGACAGCAAAATGTGAACCTAACCTTATGTTTGTACTTTATTTTGAGCTCTTGTGGACGATCTATAAACTATTAAAATCTTTCAACACAAAAAGTCATCAATATTTTTCAAAGCAGCCTTACCTCACTGGCCAGTCTCTCATACTCCTCCATCAGTTTCTCGTTCTCTTGGTTTACCCCAAGAACCTTGCATATCCTGTTGGCAGCTGTCTCTGCCTGAGTCCACAAGGGAGGAGAATAATATATTGAAATCAGCAGAATAAGGCGGSGGGACATGCCCTCATTGATCTTTCATTATTAATACATCAAAAACTATTTTCCTCACAGCACATTTACTGATTKGGAAGCCAGGGCATGTCCAAATCAAACTGACAACAGATTTCTGCAGTTYTCAGAAAGCATTTGAATAAAAAGATCATCATAAATGAGAATAAGTCAGCCCTCTGTACCTGCTCAGCTCCAGCAAAAGCATGGTAAAAACACGACACGTAGGTCATGATGGCTCTCTCATCAGGCTTGGGGGTGTTGATGATATCTGTGGCAACAAGGGGAAGAGGAACTTGACCCACCAGAAAAAGAGAAACAACTGGAAACGACAACAAACTTAGATAATTAAAGAAAAAAGAAACTCCACAAYCATTTTAGTGAGAGAAACTGCATTTTCTGCAAAAAGTGTGAATGCAAAAAAAGCTGAAATCAGCTGTAAAGTAGCTGAAAATAGCAGGAAAAAAGCTGAAAAGCAGCTGGAAAAAGCTCAAAATAGCAGAACAAAAACAAAAGAGCATGTTTGCTGAATTAAGCAGAAAATAGCTACAATTAACAGAAAAAAGTGAAGTTACATTTAAAAAAAAGCTAAAATTAGAAAAGCAAACAGTAACCAAAAAGGAAAAACAGCTGAAAGGGAGCATGTAAAGCTGAAACTAGCAGAAGGAAGCTGAGATTAGCACAAACAAGCTGTAAAACCCAGAATAACTGGTGAAATGAGCAGTAAATTAATTTGAAGGATGTTGAAGGAAACTATTAATTTTTAACGAGAAAAAGGAAGGTGGAAAAAGCTAAACAGTCCATAAAGTAAATATTGCACAAATACAAAACGTCCTAGCAGGAATGTCCWGGATGAGCTGAATGTGAATGATACATGAATTGTTGTGGAAAAATGTGCAGAAGAAAAAATGGATCTCAATAGTGTAAATGCTTTCTTTATGATCATTAACAAAATTATAGCATCAGTTCCACACCACCATATACAGTAGTATACTACAAAATATTATCATTTGATCTAAAAAAAACATACAACTGAAACAAAAAAAATGATCAAACAACTTCCTACTGAGACATTCTGATCCAAGAACACTACCTTCAGCATCCAGCATTTTAGGAATGTCCAGGTGTTTTTCGGCTATGTCAAAAGCCAGGTTCAGGTTCCCCAGTGGATCATCCTAAAAATAGAGACAAATTTCTACACGGTTACACACAAGTCTTAGTGTTGAAATGTCACGGCACTGCTCTTTATGCATGTAACACAGAGGAAAAGCTCCCTGGTTCAGAGAAGAAAATCCTCTCATTCATGAATTTGAAATGTTTACTGTATTTGCATGTTTGACCTGTATTGAAGTCGTGTCGTACTGCTTAAATTAGTGGCCGTGCRTAAACACACATTCTACGCAAGTAAACATTTCCCAGTTATACCATAAAGTCAGGGACTAAGCCAACATCTCAGACTGAACTCGTTGCTGCTAAGTGGACCATCAGGGAGAGGGAAGTGGAGTAAAAAAGATCATGCCATCATGCTGCGCCTATTGAAAGCAGGTGGTRTAAGGCCCATTACATGACAGGACCAGCTGCTCCCAGATCCACTGCAGGACAGATAAACGGAGTGAGGGATGAGTGCTGAGATGGAGGGATAAATGGATGAATGGACAGAAGGACGCCCTGAGCCTTTGTTTTTCGCCTCTGTGCATGTTTAGGCCTGGGCAGAGCTGTAACGGTGGGTTGTAGTGGGCTTAATGAACACGTTCACCTGGAGCCAGACTCAACAGCTGCCGTGGATCACAATGCAGCTGTCCGCTGGCAGCGGGAGGAAAAGTGAAAAGAGGAAACGTGACTGAGTGAGTGAATGTGTCGCTGGACAGAGTTTAAAAAAAAAAACGCAGGAAGCAAATTCTGACTGGGGAACAAAGTGTGACAGCCAGGACAGAACCGAGTGTTTCTGTTTCCAACACTAATAAAAATCTCACTCTTTATTTCCGACTGTGTTCTCCTTTTTTTAAAATAACAGCACGACCTGGGTGAAGTTAGTGTTTCTATTCGCGGTCAGGTATGCAGGCTTTCCCCAGCACATGCTTCAATGTTTTTAGACCTTGAGAAATTTAATCTAAGATACTTGACGCAACAGAAACTTTTTTTTAATGATGTTTTAAGATGTTTCGTCATTTATCTGAAAAGTTTGCCCAGTTGTGAATGAACACTCAGAGGATCTTGGGCATCAATAAAAGCTGAAATACTGGGCCTAAAAATAAAAATATATTTCATTTAGAGAATATACACAAAAAGTAAGGACATTTGTGTTTGTTAGATTATTTCTTTGATTTAACAATGCTTCTTGGCAGTACATAGCATTGGAAAGCCTGTTAATTTATCTTTTAAATGGTGCCACATCTGTAAGGAAACATGCATTTGTGGAAAGAGTAGTAGAGCCGGGGGTTGTGCATGTGAAAAATTTGCCTAATCTTCTCTGCCAAACAGCTTATTTTGCTGTTGCTATTGACACTTGTTTTGAGCTTCTGGTACACCCAGATGCTGCCAATCAGGTGCTCGCCAAGAAGCACTGTTACAACAAAGAAGTAATCTAACAAACACAAATTTATTTACATTTTGTGCTGAGCTTATGTGCTAGACTGCATAAACAAAGTCTCATCGAGGTGTTAGGCCACATAGCCTGAAAATGGTAAAAAGAAACTAGAAAAAAGAGCATTATTTTCATGTTCATGTAGAATTGAGCATTAAGCAAATGGCTTTAGTTAAGGATAATGAACCATAAGTTAAAGGCACTTAGAACAAACACATTCCCGTGCAAGTGCAAGACATCACTAATTTAAAGTACCATTATGACCATTAGCTAAATAATGTGAATAAATTATATTCATTGAGTTGAGTGCAATCATACAGCACACAAACAATACACTAAACAACAAACTTAAACAGTCCCGCTAATTACACAGTCAAACAGGCAGGTGAGTTATTCATGAGTTATTTTTGGAGGAACATAAAACTTCAGCTCTAAATAGGAAATGTGTTTTTCAACCCACAAATCAATGCAAAGAAATTCTTATTTTTTTTCTTTGCTTCAGTTGGTTTTATCAGTTCCCACTGTCTCAAGCGTGTATATTTTGGGGTAGGTGTGAGTGTTAGTGGTGCTGGGCTGAAACACGGCATCCTGATTACAGGTGAAACCACACAAAACCTTGTTGAGCTTCGAGAAGTCGAGGAGGTCAGGTCTGTGTCTGTGAATCAGGGCGCAGAAGGCCAGGCCGTCCTTCCAGCTTCAGCAGCCAATGAGCAGAGAGAATCGACACGTCACGTCAAAGAGGTGAGATTTCTGGAGTCCACTTTCCAGCAGGATTCATCCCTTTATCAAATCTTAATATTTGATCTGTTTGAAGTCAACTTCACACTGAACTTAGAGTACTAATGAAAAGTTAAAAGGATGAACTGACAGGACAAACGCTATATTATTGAAGCCCACTTGTTAGAGGTGAATACCTAAAACTCACCTGACATGGAAGTTTTGGACGTTAACGTTCCTGTAGGGGGCAGTCTTTCTCTGACACCACAGAAGAAGACCTTCCTTAGCAGATGTTTCTGTTGAGACAGGAATTCACACAAATCTAAATAGAGGTTTTAATATGTACTTAAAAAAAGCCACCTAAAAATACATTTTTGTTTAAGTAGTCAGATGATTTGTCTTTAAAAGCCTAAAATTGTTATTTGAATTTATTTCTTTTAGGATTCAACCAATGAGCCAATGAGGTTTTTTTTTTGACAGATACCAATACTAATGTAAGTAATCAACAGGACCAGTAGCAAATATTTACAACTAATACATTTGTAGTAAATATGCAAATTTAGAAATGAATAACTAAGCTGGAATGCATTTGTCTGGCAATTTTTCCACCATTATTTGAAAAAAAAAGCAAAACTCCCAACATAACTACCTTAAATTTAAAAACARAATTGTTTGTGGCAATTATGTTTCAGCTCAGTGTTCCTGAGCTGCAACTCGTGATGTGTCTCCATCAGATTACACAGTGAGTAGGATATTGCTCAGGACCTCAGAGTGATAACACAGGAGACCGTATCAGAGCCAGATCAGTTTTTATGATCATAAATCAATTAAAACAAAAACAATAGATTATTTGAAACATCGTGAATATAAGGCCTTATTATTAGCCAGGTTAGTAGTCGATCCTTAAATTTAAGTGTCCGAATGTTCAAACATGACCATCTCTGGGCACAAAGGTTACAAAACTCTTAGCCGATTTACTCTTCTCAGACTGAATAACTCACCTTCCACAGATATGTCCTGAATGGCAAAGCGGAGGATGATGGTCCAAATCATTCCAAGAGTCATCTTTACATTCCCGTCCACTATCTCTGAAAAACAAAACAAATATAAAGCGTAAAATACTAATAATAGGATTCAAACTTTACAAATGTCCAGCATCGGTGTGATTCTCAGGAAGTGGTCAGATACCTTCAGCTCCGATGGAGACCAGCTTCACTCCTTTACTCGTGATGAATTCCAGCGCTTTATTGACATTAGCAATCTTATGAAACCGCATCTTTCCTCTGTCAGGCTTAGGTAACCTCTCTCCTATAAACACAGCATGGTGACAGAAGTTGGGCATTTTATGTGACAAAAGGAAAAAAAATAAGTCAAACACTGAGATGTGAAAAAGACTGTTGAATAATAATAATAATTATAATTTGGTTCTCAAACCTGAAATGACTTCCAAGAGCAGCATAAGCTTTAATCCATTCCTGAAGTCTTCCTCGATGTTCTCGATTTGAGTGCCAGCCTTCCTCAGGTGAGAGTTGCACCAAGCTGTGAAGGTCTGGAAACAAAGACATTCTCACATCAGTTTCATCAAATAGAGAGCAAAAGCAGAAAAAAGATTGTTTGTTCTTTCAAGTCCAGTCGTCGATTCTAATCGAATAACTTGTGCTGTCACCTTCCTCACTTTGTTTTCATCTAAATCCTGYAATCATACCCAACAGTATAATTCTACCTATAGCTTCACAACTTTAGTCATCAGAATACAATGAAGAAAAAGAAATTTCATAAAACATGTCTGGCTCTACCACTAATGTTAAACATGCAAATATCCTTTGTAACCTGATGTACTGTATGTCAGTAAAACTACTCTGATACTCATATTGCTGAATATTGCAGTAGAGTACAAAATTTTGTCATATTACATCCATTGACTTAGGGTTGCAAAAAAAAAAAAAAAAAAAAAAAAAAAAACCTATATTTTTCTTTAATATATATTGGAATTAAAACTTTGAAAGAACTTTGTAAAAGGGAGAACTGAAACTTTCTGACATACTGTTTAAACTGTTTCTAAACTTTGGATTTCAGGGTGTATTGTGTTTAACCTCTATTTTTGTGGAACACGGAATAAGCCTTACATTGGAAATGTGGGTTTTTTGCTCTTATTATGGTGAGTGACATTTAAACTAAAACTGTTAGTTATTTGTAACCTGATCCCTGAGAGCAGTGCAAGTTATTAGATGAACCTTTTTGTGCAAAYCTTTTCTAAACTGACTGATAAACATGGGCTGATTGTTATCCCARTTTGTTCACTGTAATGAGTTTTTCATAAAAGTATCACCTTTCTGGCTRCTAATGCAACTAGTGGCAAAAACTGCCGGTCTATCTTGTCCCTCAAACGGGACCATCCCTGTGACTTTAGTATAAAAATAATCAAACCAATGATTAAAAAAACTATAGTTTTTATATTGAAGGAAAATATGAGATAAAGTTGCTTGATTCCTGGAACATTTAGCACTGAGGGGAATCATTGTTGGATTTTTTTTTTTCAATTATACCACTCCGATATAATTTTTTTAATACATTTCTGTCAAATATCCTGAGTAATTTCCATATTTGTTTTCTCTAATGTTTTTTTTTTCTAAGATTTCAATAAATTGATAACTTAGCCCTATAGCAGCCCTTCAGTCAAAATGACCCTAACGACCTCCCAAGAGGAGCAGGCAGATTAAAGATGAAACGTTAGTCCTGAAAAGTCATGTACTAAGTTGTACATGATTTATTTTCCTTAGTGAGCATATTTTTACGACATTAACACTTTAGCAAAAAAATAAAAAGTAAAGTTTGTGCTCTAAGCACCATGAATCTAAATAAACTGAGTGAGACGACAGCTTAACAAGTCGTCTAAACAGGGATATATGCGAAAAGAATGTTAACCTCTGCTACCGGATTATTCTTCAGTGTCACACAAGTATCCACTTTCATCTTTTCCTACAATAGCTCCACAGCCAACACCAATCAGAACAAATGTTCTCTATGAACTCCTGAAATACTGTAAATCAAGTTAAAGCGGGACCATTATCTTTCTCCTATTTTTACAAAGTCTCTCAGTAGTCAGCAGTAGAGCTCAGAGATGCTCAGCCCTGTACGGATGAAGGCCGGGAGGCGAGCAGAGCGCATTCCAGCTGATATAAGGCATTAAATTTAGACCGCTCTGCTGTGGCTCATGATAAGAGACAGAAAGGAAAAACCGTCGAAACGTCTCAACATGTCAACATGAGGGGAAAATGTCACATGGGTGGCGGCACGAATTTTCCTCTTGCATCACTTTCTGTCACTATTTTGCCACTTAGAACATGACGTGTTGATGTTCCCCAGCTGGGTAACAATGCTGTTCATCTGGGTCACGTTTTATTATTTATCAGGGCGTAAAGAACAAGATASGAGCGTGGAAGATCTCATTTAAAARCATTTGAAGGACAYGCCACCTGGATGAATAAATCCATCATCTGTGGTGTTAAAGATGTTAATATGTCAGACATAAAAGCACCAAAACAGTTTAATAACTTCCAGTCATCAGCTTTCTGCTTATTTGGGCTCAAATCAAGGAGCTGATCCTTCCACCAACAAGTGACATTGAACACATTTACCTCCAAGCCTCTGATCATCCAGGGAAAGACGGAAGGACACTGAAAAAAAATAACTTGTAAGATTTACTTGAAAAAATCCTCGTAACAATTTGCACTAACGTTTGTTAAGTAAATGTAAATGCTACAAATTCATGTAATATTTACTCATCATTATCTAGTAAAAGCTATTAAGGATATAGTTAAAGATTTGTGAATAAATCAGGTAAATTTTATTTAATTTGCTCAATTAAATCTTGTAACATATACTTGATCGTAGCATTTAAATTTACTTAAACATTAGCGCAAATTGTTATGAGAATTTTTCAAAAAAATCTTACAAGTTCTATACAACAGTACACATGCATCAAGCACAATATTGTAGCATGACACCTCACAGCTACAGAGAGAGGGGAAGCTCTTGTTGTAGTTCAAGACTTCACCACTAGTTGGTGGTTTTGAAGAACCTTTATTGGATTCTTCTTCATGAACAAAACAGACAGAATGAAACTCACAGGTCTTATTAATGACTAGGCCTACCACTCTCGCTTATGGTTACTTCTGCTGAACGGTTTAACACAAGTTAAATAATGAACGCACAAMTTAGAGYAACACAACAGACTAATTGCTGAATGAACAATRTTAACCAAYTCCCTAAAATGATTTAACAACAACAAACATGAATCCTACCCACAATCCTCCACTGCAGTCACATGACAAACAGCCAAACACAGCAGAATGCTACAATATGCATTCTTTGTTCCCTGACAACTAAAATCACCCACATTATGCCATCAAACTATTGCACACCAACAAATGTGTTCAAGCAAAAGAAACCAGACAACTTATGTTTTATTTTGACCATGTCTTCTCCTCTCCTTGAAAAGTGAAGCAAGGGAAAGAGGAGCAGCAGCCTTTGTGTGCACATGCACCCTGTTTTAGCCCAGAAGAGAAGTTACTTACCGTAATATATTCATGTTTATGTGCTGTCTAGAAAAAGCAATTAAATATTACTTGTAAAATATTAGCATTTACTTTTTTTGTACAGTAATATTGATATATAATATAATGTGTATTGTTTATTTAGTAAATACTAGTAGTTTAGAGATTTTGATATATTTTTTGTAAAATTTAAAAGAATAWTTAAATAAATGTTACTACACCCACAAGTTTGTTTTTTCAGTGTAGAGTGCTTTAAATACCTGTTTGTCCTTCCAAACTCACTCCGATATGATCGACAAAAAAGCTCTTCAGCGCCTTCATCTTCTCAGAAAGTTAAGAAATTTTAATGTTAGCATAAGATTTTAATCATGGTTTACCAGTTACTTTTAGAATCTATTCTCACCTTCAATATCATGTCTTGGTACAACTTTCTCACTGGTAAACAGAAAACAAAACGGTCAAGTATAGCAAATCAAGCTAGTAAAATAAATGGTTTGATACAACCTCCACTATTCCATCTGTATGAGCACGCTGTAATTAGCCATTATAATCACAGTGGAACCCTCGCATCCCCTCCATCACTCATTCAGTCTCCTTCTATCAGGTAGGAGATGCAAAGTACCACTGGCTAAGAAGCAACACAAAAAAGTAATTTATTCCAACCGCAGTTACAGCCCTAAACAATAGAGGTATTTTTAAAATTTTGTTTGATTTTTATCTTGTGTAAATGTTTCTTTGGAAGSTTTTTCTATGTGTGTATGGAGCCCTGTCGAAGACAAATTTCTGTAACTTCTAGTGTCAGACAAATAAAGCTCTCTATTCTATTCTATCAAATATACATTCTAATAAATATTACTTTTATTTTAAAAGACGTAAGCTCAGATGAAAGTATGTTGCCTGTTTTTTAATCTTTCTGTCATGTGTGTTTTTGCTTTCATTTTCTAGTGTTTCTCTGTTCCCCTGTGTACCTCTTCCCTGCTCTCTTGCCTCCAGCCCCGCCCACGCTCACCTTTTTCCTCTTGTGTCTCTCCCCAGGTGTTTTCCATTGTCCCTCATTAGTTCACCTTTATATTCTGTGTCCTGTCTTCAGTGTTTGTCACTTCGTTGTGCTGCATCCCCTCAGCCTGTGTGGTTGTCTTCCTGTTCCGCCCACTGAGAAGAGTTTGTTGTAAGTTTTGCTGCCACGACAGCCCTCTTTTTGTTCTTCAAAACTTTTTGTTACATTTTGGAATTTTGCCTGCGCCCTGGGTTTTTCCCCCTGCAACCCTCACACTTTCAGCTTTTTGTAAATAGACGTTTATTTTCAGTAACAAAAAAAATTGAATAGTTATATTGCTTTGATTTATTTGCAACAGGTTTTGTCATTAAAAAAATAAGAGGGGGAAAAAACATGAATCGATACTATATTTAAAAAATAACTTCAGTACTTCCTGCAACCTTGGTTTCTAAGCACCCTCGCTCCCAGTAGGAGTTTGGGTGCCCAGACAGTCATTCAAGCTTCCCCCCTTGGGTGCCAGTGCAAAAACAGAATATTACAGGCTTGAAAGTGAAGGGCATCACATTCCACACTGAGTGAGTCCCCAGGGTGCATGTGACATTGTACTGATGTCCTCTTGTAAAAAAAAAAAAAAAAAAAGTTGCCTGCTGGTCCTCCAAATTGGACTCGCAGTCACAGTTGCAGAGCACAACTGCCCACTATCCAGGCACCCCTACACACACACACAACACACACAGACTGCCCTGTCCGACGCCACTGCCTGGTGACAATTAAAGCTAAAAATATTCATGAATCACATCCAGTGAGGACCGACCCTGCTACAGAGCTGTCTAATGCCTGTGTGGCCCCACTCAATCAGGGCATGTTAGGATGAAAAACAGTAAACTGGATGTTTAACATTGTGGGGAAAAAAGGCAGAAACTTCTACAAATTCACAAAAAGGGAGCAAGTTCAATTGGAAGAACTTGGTTCGATTTTTTTTTTTAGGACATCACTCATATTTTCTGGACTGCATTAAGATAAAAGCTTTTTGGGTTTCTGTTCACCACACTTTATGTTTCCTTTATCTTTAATCTGCCAAGAGACTGATGGAATAAACACACTAAAAACTGCTGGGTTATTTTGATGACTCAGTTACTGAGTTATATAGGTTGGGTTGGTTTGACCCAAAAAGTTTGACCCAGCGTGGGTTGTTTTTAGTGTAATAACACCATCGGTATCGACTGAAGAACAGTCACAACTAAAGAAAAGGAAAATAATCCAACCAGTTCTGCTCATTTTGCAGATGTTCATAAAGACAAATCCCTCCCCAGCAAACACTGTTCAGCTCTAGGTTACAGCAGGAAGGGGTGGGATGGAGGGGACCTCCTACATAGTTACCTTATGTTCTAAAAATACATATATTGTCATCCATGGGGGGTTACAGAGGACACAGACCTGATGGCCTCCAGCAGTGCAAAGAGCTGCAAGTTTAAGGCCCAAGCCAACTTTTAAAGCCCTAAAAAAACAACTGACAGAGTGGGAGGCTGAGGCTATATTGAGTTGAGCTGGTGCTGGTACAATATTCCTGGTTGGGTTTCTATAAACAAAAGGATTCCGCAGCAAGGACACTGGATTAACCCCACTATAATGCCTTTTGGTCCCCTTGGATAAAATTAGACGCAGCGTCCATTCTGATCCCAGGAGCGTCATCAAGTGTTAGCAGCATCTGTTGACAGCTCGCATTCCGCACGTATCAGTGGAGAGGCAGCGGTCTGCCGAGCCGCTGGAAGCCGCAGCTATTGTTAGCTGGTACCCAACGCATCCGTCCGTCAAGCTGCCCTGCCAGGACCACGGGCTGCTCGCGTCAACAAGACCGCACCGGAAATGTGCTTATGCCGCCTTTCAGAATAAAACCACAGCTTAATGGAGAATAAATACTTGTTTTACCGAGTAAAAAATAATAATTATATACATTTTATACATGGAAATGTTGTGAAATGTTTCCACTCATGTAAAACACATAATGTATCTCTTCAATCATTTGATCGTCATCACTCCTGTGAATTTTTTGGCAACTGTTCGCAATAAACCTCACATTTGGTCTCTTTTTTCGCTAATATTTTGTCTCTCTTTTGACATAGGCCTATTTGTGGTCTAGTTGGGATTGCAATGTTGTTTTATATAACAATTCTGTGACTTTCGTGGTCAAATTTGTAATTACAAATTGGCATCTTTTCTTCTTCTCATGGACATTTTTAGGTCATAAGTCAGTTAGGATTTGTCTGTCTCATCCTGGGCCCTCCTCTTTCTGGAAGAGTTGCATAGGTATTAGGGTTGGGCATAACCGTATCGTGTGCAATTAATCGTCAGAAAAACATTAATCGATTACTTTTTGGCACTTGACGATTAATACGATGAATGCCACCAGGCAGAGTTTGCTCGGTGCTCCTCTCCGCTTCCAATATGACGAACATTTAAAAATAAAAAACAAAGTTCTGTAATTTATTTATCTATCAACACAATTTAAAATATGATGTAGTCTATAGCCTGAAATCTGTAATTTTCACACAATTTGGAACAATTTTCTTTACAAAGATCAAATCTTTCCCACTAAATTGGTCATGTGACTACGAAATGAGGGTGTCCAGGGACTCCAGGGGATTAATCATCAAATTAATCGTTATCGGCTAAATACCACAATTAATCGTGATTAATGTTTTTGCCAATATTGCCCAACCCTAATAGGTATGTTCACATAAACCTGAGACACAATTTTAGGATTGAGTGCCTGCAATAATTGATTTTATTATGATTTAAACAAAGCAGACGGCACAATCTCATTTTAAGTCCTACAACTTTGCAAATGTGAATATAGATCAGTAACTGTGGGAAGAACATAAAAATAACAGTATCATAAATATCGACTTGTTTCATTTAGCGCTACTGAGTTCAACATGTCTTATTTTGAAAGGACACTAACAGGAAGCTGTCTTGATTGCGGAGCCCTAACTATCTGTAAATATTTTAAAAAAAAAGTTACGTGTTTAATTATGCCGCTAAAAACTCGGCTGAAACTGRACATTTGATGTGATGTTTTTAAACTTATGGAGACTTTTAAATGAAATTTCCAACCTAGCACAAAGCAGCAACACACGTGTCATTTTCACTGTTATTTTATGTAAAACGGTGATATTTCTATGAAAAAGGTAAGTTTCATTAACTAAAAGGKCATACTTTCCGTTGCTGTTGCTCCCAGGCGGGGTCCAGCAGCATGTCCCTGTCCCACTCATCCTCCTGCATCATGTACTCATCCTCATAGCCATTATCATAGTGCACCGTTGTCTCCATCTGGGTCATCATTTTGCCCCCCGTGTTCTCCTTTCTCCTCTTCTCACACTAAAACGTGAATTATCCTTTAAAAAAAAAACGAAGTTGACTCTGGACCGGATAGTTTCCTGACTTGGTCTCACTTGGCCTGGCTTGTCCTCCAGTCCTGACAGACGTCTGACCCTGGTTGTCCACAGATGAGCCAATGGCTGCATGATTAGTAGCGGACAGTCACGTGACACCTTCATACCTTCCCCCTAACTCCATCATTCATCCTCCCACCAGCCAAAAACAAACTTGCAACACAGTTCATTGTTCTCAGATCAATACAAAGTTTTTTTTTTATTAAAAAAAGGACACTTGAGAATTTATTAAAAGAATATAACAAAAAGAAATTGCTTAAGGCATATAAATAAGATGCATTTTTCGTTCAGAAAACCCAACATGGACTCACAAACGTTTCACAATCTTTTCAGAAATAAAACACAACTGCTCGATTTTGTTTTCTTACAAACTGGATGAACAAATGCACCCAGTTCAGTTAAGTTGGGAGTGTATATAATGTGGTTGCCATGAGTCCTTGTTCAAATTAAAGTGTAGACGTTGAGTGAAATGAGTGGTAAAATGACAACATGCATAACAGGAAGTCAAAATCAGTCCTGCCCGTTGTGTGACTGAAACATTTTTTGTCATTCAACACATAACCTTGCCTCGGAGCGCAGATTTTCTGCTTCTTTGGAGTGTGACCTTTTTGCTTTTTTATACCGTTTCTTTCCAGCCACGCAGCTCTATTTTTTAAGCAGAAATCACCTCCATATATTCACAGAAACAAAAGAAAAACTAAACATCAGTTGGAACRTATAAGAAAAGTAGCTGCTGAGAAGATAGTGCTGTAAAAAACTTATTTTTACAGCTGTGGTGTGTTTTACCGTCGTATTTAGACGATTGTTTCTTTTTCTTAAATAACTCGAAGGGCCGAGTGCTCTTTAAATCGCACGATGCCGTTAATCAATCAGGCCTCTTAAAAATATAAAAATATCCCCCCTACAGTTTACCATAAAGAGGGGGAAGCAGTCACAATTGARGGATAATCTCACCGCGGAGCTGGAGTTCACTCAGAGTGCACGGAAAAGACTCATGGGAGCGAACGAGGCTCTAGTGTTTCTCAAAACCATCCGACAACTTTAAGAACGAGTTATCTGTCACGGCCGTGTTGACGCTGGCCAGAGGCTCGCCGCGAACCAAAACACCCTCTGGGCTCGGAGAAGAGCAGGTGGGGAGAGAAGCTGAGTGTTTGCAGAGAAGGGAGGGATGCCGTGTGTCCTCTGYGAGCTGCTTCAGTGAGCGCTGGTCCTCGTTGGTTAATGGAAGAATAAGGTGAAGGGAGGAGGATTTGTTGAAAATGATGTTTTTTGTTTGTTTTTTTTTTTCTTGTTAACGTCAATCAGTTTCATTCAGGCCACAAGGTCGCCGCCACTCCTGGCCTCGCTCGTGGATCCACTTGTTTGACACTGAAAGCAAAGAAAAGTGTTGTTAATGCTCTCCACACACAACACACGTTTACTCTCTTAAATAAATCCACCAGCGACATGYAGAATGAAGCCGTTTCAACACGTTCAGGGTATCTTCACGACCTTTAATTAAACACATCAAACATATAAACACAGATTTTGTCAAAATAAGGTGAATGAATAACTTATCTATTCCCTTTTCTTTGAAGGAAATGTCTGAATTATTATCTTAAAAATAATATTTTGAAGCAATTGTCCAAGCAAAAACAACAATGATTTTAAAGTGCCTATAACATCAACTATTAGTAATAAATATAAACGCATTTTTGGAAAGATAACACTTATATTGCAATAAATCAATCAATTAATTAAATAATGTCACTGAGATGAACAGTTTTGTGAAATAYGCCAAATGTGTAATGTGAAAATAATGTGTAAAATTGTGTGTGTTAAGCCAAGTTTATTAGATATAAAGACATTTTCTTTGACTTTTTGTAATTGAAGGATTTGTTTCTACAAAACTACTTTGAATATCGGCTGCGAAATCTCAATTTCCAAATACGGTTTGGGGTTTCCTCTTTTAAATAACGTCAAGAAAGCCTCATTAGAATGCGCTAAAAGTCAGATTTAGATTTCTCCAAGGGCCTTCCCAATTAGCAAAACAAATAAAGCCATWTCTCTGGAACTGCTCATACAGTATCAGGACCTTTGTATCAAAATGTAACTTAAAAAGCCAACAATCTGAAAACGTAAATCATTTACTTTAACCAAATCTATCTTCAAAACTGATTTGATGCGATGGGTCAAAAATATTGTTTCATAGGACACAAGGGAAGAAGAGGAACTCACCCCACTTGTTGCCCACCAGCACAGGACAGGCTGCATGTCGGGTGCTATAGTCTCCTTCCCCGCTGGCAAACAGATTGTACCAGAACACAGCGGTGTTCTGGGAAGGAAAAAAAAGAAAGAGGGATGAGCAAATCCTTTATTACATTCCTTCCCASTTATCTCTGAAGAATAAAARTATAATCAGACACTAAAATGTGAATCCATTTAAACACCTTTCAGCTATAATTATTAATGAGAGATGGAACATGAGTATAGACTATGTGTGGATATTGTACGTAATAATTCATTCAATGAATCAGTTGTAATAAGTGTTGTATAGTTACCTTTTTAGGCATAACTGCTGCCCCCACATCAGGGAACACTGTGGCGCCACCTGCAGTTACATCACTCATCTACAACAGAGAGGTAAAATGTAGTTTATGTTGCCCACGTCATTCTGTATGTCCTGCTGAGGAGCCACGTCTTTCAACATTTTGTTTTTTCAGTAAACAACCTTAAAGACAAACTGTTTTTAGAAAAGTAATGATTCCTTTCAGGCTAAAACAGTCTCTGATAAAATGACCTTTTGGTTTAGCTCCAGGAAAGATTTTATYCAGACGATGACCACCACAACTAATCAATCGAATCACTCGTACACAAAAAGGGCTCCAACTCAATCAGTTTGACAGATATTGAGATACATTTCAGTGTGGTAGCTTAGCATTATCCCCATTACATATTTAAAGAACTGACAACTTTTTATTTAAAAATTCAGCATATAATATGGCAGGAGTTGTGCATTATTTTAAGAAATGTTCATTTAATAGCCGTTTTTCAATCAAACACTGGTCATTAGATGTGTTTAGGAAAAATTCACTCACATAAAAAAGCCACGTTGCAATGCGATTCCCRGTACCGAGTTCTTTAAAAGCATCTGGCTCATCTTTCTGCAGAAATAAGCAACTGTAGTTATAATGTGCTGTCATACAATTTCCACTATTCAATCACAGATAATAACTTCAGTCAGCGTACCCTTCCGAAGTCAAAGTGAGGTTCATACTGCCCTCCAACACCGTAATTTGCAACCTGCACAGTAAAAAAAATTAAAAAAACAAATTTAAAATACAATCTCACACATGCACAAATCATCCTCAAGACATGCAAAGTAAGTTTGTAGGAACAGAATTCAGTTTTTCTTCTGAACAACTTTAATTTAAATTCTACCTGCAGCTCCTCTGCTGTGTCCACTTCCAAACCTGTAACGTCCTCAATTCTCTGGTTGATTATTTCGATTGCTGGATCTTCATAAGAAGTGAGCCAAGCACTGAAATAAGCCAACAGAAGCAGAGCAAAATGAGGAAAAACAGTTCCATTTTCTTCAATATTTTTAACAGCAATATATAATTGCCCACTAGATGGCAGTAAAAGAACAGATAAACGCATGCCATGCTGGAGACATACGGAACTCAAAAAGAAAGGAGTTTTTTTTTATGTAAAATGCTAAAAGAAGGGATTACAGCTGGGGAAAACAAACAAACAAAGATTTAATATTCAGATTCTCCAGTCAGCTCAGGGTACAGGATTGTGAACAAGTTTAGAAGTTTGGTTCGAGGACGTAGACCAGATATTTTCATGGATTCATTTCATGACTTTTTCACGCTCACACTCGTTTAACATTCAGTTCGGCAGACTGCACAGTGTTTAGATTTGTCATTCCTTTAGCTGACGTGCTATAAGACTCCCACATTAAACCAGCTGCTGCAACGTGAGACAGAAACAGTTCCAACACTGTTTACTTTAAAACAGTTATTACAAAGCAAAGTGTTCGAGTCTGTGCAGCCCCACTTTGAGAACACAAAGCATCTGTGTTTGTATGAGGAGAGGAAAAAATGAGATTTATTGTTCAATGACTTTTATTTTTGGCGAGCTGCTGGATTTAGATGTGAGCCGGCAGGCAGACCCGTTCACGCTGACGCTAACGTTCGGCGAACTGAAAAAGACGTGCTGGATAACACGTAAGCATACAAAACCATCAAAGGGGCACCACACCCTTACAGCCACACACACACACACACACACACAAACACACACATTAATTATCCAGAGCAGAAAAACCAAAGGCAAGCTGCTGTGCGGACTGCAGAGCCTGCTATTTTGTGAGAGTCAAGTTTAACAAAGATTTGGTCATTTTAAAGTTTTTGTTGTTGCTTAGCAAAAAAGAAAAACTTGTATTTAACATTTTTCTACTTTTTTTAAAAGGTGCATTCAATTTGAATCCGGGAAGGTTACTTTCTCTACTTTGCTAAAGTTAAAACAGGACAATGTGGGCCAAACAGTTGGAAGAAAAAAAAAGTATTTTATCGAAGTTCCATGAAAATATCTAATTTCCTCAATAAATTATAATAATCTTAGCTACACAAAACCAGCAATAGAGGATTATTTATTAACTGCTATGCAGCTGTAATAAAATCAACCCCCTTATTGTTGAGTTTCCAGTTGGAGCTATAGATTTTCTTTTTAATCGTGTTTTCATGCTCAAATAAGCGTTCCAGTCAGTTCACACAGATTAGGATGAGTTCAGAGTAAAAGGCAATAACTTCCTGATGACCTGTGACCCCTTACCTCTTGGAGACTCTGTATTGGGCTGTGGTAAGTTTCCCAGTTTGGGGGTCATGCACCGTGGCTCGCCTTAACTACAGTAGTTCCAGGAGGCACGAGGACATGGAGGAAGAGGAAAATAGGAGGGGGGAAAAATTAAAAAGCGGTAAAAGGACAAGAAAACATGACACGGGAGGGAGAGGTGGAATAAAAGGAGGGAAAGAGAGAGAGAAAAGAAAAGCAGATGCGATCACTAGTTGTAAATGTTATTTCTAGGAACCAGAGTCTTCCATGAGGCAATGCTGGAATCCAAAAAAAATCACATTCAGGTTTCTATCACCTGCCTCATATCTGCCTCCAGACTGAGAAAGCAGCTACTTTTATATTAACTTCCCCTTCCCCCGGCGTGCTGTGCTGCAGACTCCTGAGCAGAAACAAGTCCATAAACAGATCCTAACAACACTGTTGTCTACGCTGACATTTTTTCCACTGCCAAGTCRTTCTTACAACCCACAGTGAGATAAAACAGAAGCATTAAAGCTTTCAGTCTTTATCATACTCAGCTGGATTCTGTGCTTCAGCTCAAGAGTCTGCGATCGGTGGAAGGGCGGAGAGATGGAGCTCTCGACAGACACGGAGAGAAACGGGGCGCAGCCTGAACACTCCACCGGCAGCTGGCTCCGTCTTACCTTTTGCTGATCCTGTAAGAAGCCGTCTCCAGCACTCCGGTGACGGGGTTGGAGATGGTTGCCCTGCGTAGCTGCGAGACCAGGGACATGATTTACCCACACACATGCTCACACGTGCACGTCTGTGTGCTTCCCCAACCATCACCCAGCCTCGCGGGCGCTGAC